CTACGCATGCCGTCCGCCGGGAATTGTCGAGCAGCTGCCGCGGACTGCAACCAGCAATGGGCGACACAAAGTCATCAGCCCACGACGGTAGACCCAAGCCAACAGGACCATCCAAAGCGGCCCATGGGTGCAAAGGTCCCTTGACAGTGACAGCAGGCAAAAGGTCGAGAGCTCGAAGGCGCGCTTCTACCGATTTGACAAAGGCCGCAAATACCAACGAAAAGATGATGTCGGCAGCCGGATCTCCTGGCCGAGAACCCTTACGAGTAAGGGTGACAACATCATTGAAGCCGATGGTAAACCATGTCGCCTGCAGCATGTCATCCACAACCGCCGCCAAGTGTGCACTGGCGCCGAAATCAGGCAGTATGGCAAGGGTCCGGAGCTGTCGAGTCAGTTCGGCCAAGGCGGACGAGGGCAAGCCAAGTTTATGAATGAGCTGACCAAGTTCAGCATCAGATGCCTCGGTGGCAAAGAGAGTCTCACGGACGACTCGGTAGAAAGCTGCCTGGAGGTCGTAGAAAATCAAGGACCACAGTCCTGCACTGTGATGACGGCTGGCCTGAAAAGTGCGCACCAACAAAGACATGGCCTCGATGCCCACCCCTGGCACTGTCCCTGCTTGGGTGGGGCTACCGTGCGTCTGAAGGAGCGGAATCAGTCGGTTGCGGGTGGCGCGGTGAAGAACCTTACCCGGCGTAGAAGCCAGGAGGATCGACCGAAACTGCTGGCACCTAAGCGCCGCTCCCGCTTTCTTGGCCAAGCAGTGGAGTGAGCCCCCCCGAAAAGCCAAGGGTTCACAAACCGAGATGGACGACTTAACAAGAACCGGAAACAGGTGCCTGGCAGAGTGAACAGGACAAAGTCGAAGAAGGTCACTTGAGATCCCGTCTGGACCAGGGGCCTTGGCCTTCTTGAGGCCCATAATGATTTGCTCGATCTCAAAAAGGCTGGGAACAGCATTGATATCAAAAGGAACGGTACGGCGGCTGTGCCGATCCTGGAGAGTGGCTAGGTATCCCGGAGAATCCATGAGCTCCCCCGCCTCCTGCGCACCAAAGTGCTGTCGCCAGCCCTCGACTTTCTCCTCATGGGTGACGGCCATGACCCCGGAAGGGAGAATGACAGATGGGAGAGGCGTGAAGGAGCTCCGACGGGCGGAGCGTGCTGTAGGGAAGGCCTTCCGCACCGCCTTGTAAAGAGCCTTGGGATCGCTGATCTGGCTCTGGCACACAAGAGTGACAAGGCCCTGGAGGTAGGTCACTCTGTCAGCCCGGATGGCTCTGCGAGACGCCGCAACAAAGTACTTCAAGAGTGCACAGGCTCGGGCCTCACTCCAATCAAGCTGCCACAGCCACCTGCTTGCCGTCCAGGCACTCTGCTGTGTAAAAGCAGAGCCATTCCTGTGAAGAACGAGGGCAGCGAAGGCTATCATCTTCAGCCTGTGATCGCGTTCCTGAGCTTCCTGGCGTAAGTAGGCCCTAAGGGCCCTGCAGGTGTCTATGAGAGTAAGAGAGTCCGCGCTGACATGCGGCTGCGTCAGCTGTCGAGCGGGGGTATCGTCAAGTTGAACACCCGCCGCAGACCACGTACGGACAAAGTGGTCATATTGAGAGTCAACATCTTCAGTCCACGGGGCTGTGCGAATCTCTCTAAGAATGGACAGCTGCTTTGCCCGTGGCTCTCCCGCAGGGGCCGGCTGTGGCCGTGGCACAACCTTGACTGGTTGAAAATATCGGTCGGGTTTCAGCTTGCGGCCAAAGCGGGCAGCAACGTACACAGGCGTGTGGTCCTCACGCAGCTGAAGGGCCTCAAAACCTGTGAGTGTACGGGCCTGTATGTCAAAGGAGTGCCAAGCCTGAGGAAGCACAACGTAGTCAATGCGATGGAGGCTGCCATTGGTGCCACACCAAGTCGTACCTGGACCTGTCTGGCACTCAGGAAACGTGGCCGGAACAAATCCGTCCAGAGTTAGGACGAAATCGTGAAACAACGTTCCAGCCAGAGTTTCTGGCTCTGCCTGATGCGGACCAACGGCTGCCGAGACTAAGTCGCCCAGCCTGGCATTGGAATCAACAAGAAGGAGGTAATCCATGCCCTGCGGCCTACGCTGGATTTCACAAAGAGGTCGAATTTGTTGGGTTTGGGGCTTTAACTTTTGCATCTGAGTCTTTAATGTTGGGTCTATTTTCTGGTTTAAGCCAGAAGCATTTGATGTCACAAACAGCTCCTGCGCGCTTAACTTCGAGCTCAGTGGGACCAGTAAGCTGACCATAGCAGCGTGCGTGCCAGATTCGAGTTTAATTGCGAAGAGGAAGCTGATGCTTCATGTGTGACCGCGGGCCAAACTTGATTAAATCCAGCGATGATGCATATATACACAATATTTACATATAACACGAAAACTTCATCCTTAGCTTGCTATTGAGGAGTATATATGTGTTCATGTATTTATATATATATTTTTACATGAACACATATTATATATTATATGTGTGTATGTAATGTATGTATGTATGTATGTATGTATGTATGTATGTATGTATGTATGTATGTATGTATGTATGTATGTATGTATGACTCGAAGCTTGGGATTATTCATATCGTGGGGTCTTCGATACTTCAAGTTCATAAAGTTTGGAGTATGGGTGGATTGCTATTGTATTTTGAGGGCTTAAAGATCTCGACAATTATTTACCTGCATTGCTATGCTTGCGTGGCTGGGACTGGTCGGGGGGAACAGGAAGGGCACGGGTTTGGTGGGTCGTGGTGGGTGGGTGAGGTTTGAGCCCTACCGAGGGGGAGGCAGGCACGTGCAGACGTCTCCTCCCACACCGTTGGCCGGGTGTGGGGCGGTGGTTTGCATTCCCCCAGTAGCTTCTCCTTGAGGCCAACGTGCCAGTGCCGGCACATGACAGCGGGGCACTGCGCTAACGCGCCCGCTGGGGAGATAGCACTGGGCGGCTCCTACGGGAATCTGTAGGTGTTGCAGCTGCCAAGTACGGAAGGCCCAAGGTGTTTTTTGCGATCGGGGAAAAGGTGGGTTTGGCTGGGGCGGGGGTGAGGCGAGGGAGTTGGGAAGGGGCTGGGGAGGGACTGTATTTTTTACTGGTACCACTGAAACTACCACTACCAGTACTACTACTACTACTACTACTACTACTACTACTATACTACTACTACTACTACTACTACTACTACTACGACTACTACTAGTACGACTACGATTACTACTACTACTACTACTACTACTACTACTACTACTACTACTTACTGCTACTACTACTACTACTACTACTACTATTACTACGACTACTTACTACATACTATTTAAGTAGTAGTAGTAGTAGTAGTAGTAGTATTGTAGTAGCAGTAGTAGTAGTAGTCGTCGTAGTCGTAGTCGTAGTCGTAGTCGTAGTCGTAGTCGTAGTCGTAGTCGTAGTAGTAGTAGTAGTAGTAGTAGTAGTAGTAATAGTAGTTTGAGTAGGAGTTTGAGTAGGAGTAGGAGTAGGACTTGGGTGGTCAGCAGCAGTCCCAGTCCTTTTGTGTGTGAGTAGGAGTTTGAGTAGGAGTAGGAATAGGACTCGGAGTGGTCAGCAGCAGTCCCATTCATTTTGTGTGTGATGCTGATGCGGAGAGATCGTGCGAGCCTCGTTGTTCGCTCCCAGCCCTTGAGGGTGGTTCGTAAAGCTTGGGGATGTTGTTTCTATGTGCGGCCGACAAAATGATATGGCTCCTATCAGACAACTTCACTTCATGAGTGTCTTGTTGGCGAATGCATAGCTTGGCAACATGCGTGGGCAGTCTGTGATGTTGTGTCCATCTCGGACAGCAGCCAGGTCTGTGTGTGTGTGTGCCCTTGTGCGTCTGCAAGTGTAGTGTACGAAGTTTTTCAAAGCAGCAGAGAAGATGATGGGCTCCATGGCTCAATGGATATCAGTGCTGCAGTTCGTGCTGCTTTGAGATCTGGATGTCAAGTGCCTGGGGCTGCAGACGCTTCTGGCCATGCGGGTGATCATGACAGGAAAGCATTTCTTCGAAATGTAGTCCGGGAGCAGAAGGCGAAGGCGAAGGCCAGCAACAAACGTGTTACCTTCAACTTTTCTGCCATTCGAAACATGGTGGCGCAACGGTCCCTCGATGTTTCATAATGTGCTGCTTTTGTTGCGAAAACTTATCGTTGAGGTTCTAAACTCTAAGACTCTAAGAGTATACTTGAAGTCCCAAGGCCCCACGCTCGTACATTCCAGGCAGCTTCGTGGAACTCAGAACGACAAGAAGAAGAAGAAGAAGCCGGCCAAGCAACCAAGACCACACTATAACAATCAGCGCCGCCGACTGCTAGCTGAATCGCGCTTGAAAACATCTTCTGGCAAGTCGTAGCTTGTTTGAACGATTGTTTTTTCATGATGTCTGTGTGTTTCTGAACAATATCTTTGAGCCATCATGCAGAGTTGACTGAGGTTCAAGAAGAGCGGTGTGGATGCCACGCGGGTGAGGGCTTTGCTGTCCGGTGACCAGGATTGCAAGTGCAGTCGGAAGTCCTGCTTCCGGTCCTTTGCAGCGAGTTTCGAGTCAGTCATGGAACTTGTGCGATCTTTCTATGCCTTAGACAAGCTCGACCAAGATGCTGTCGTAGCCAGGCAGCACATGGCATGCCAACCTTTGTAGCATGAGGTCCCACTTTCAATGCATGTCATCACCACCCATATCATCCTTCACTCCAACTACCATTGTCATCGTGTTTATATGACAAAACGCTTGTCAATTGTTAGCAATCTAGGCTTGGTTTGCTTTCTGCTGAGATTCGGGAAACCTACGGTCCAGATGACTCGACTCCTCGTCGACGTCGAAAATGGTCGTTGTTGGATCAAGAGATTGCCCCGGATTGCTTGGCTGCAATTCTTGGTGTGGGTCGTCAAAGACTACATAAAGCAGCCCGCGGTGCGCTAGACAAGCGATATGCGGAGTTGGGTGGAGGATTCCGGTGTGCCCCCAAAATGGCTACGATAGATAGGTTTCTTCTTGAGTTGCATGGTTCTGTGGCAGAGACATTACCAACAGAGCCCTTCGGCGAGGCACTTCAGTGGGGGTTTTGCTTAGTACATGGACCAGTCAATGCCAACTGCTCTTTGCAGCCTAGGTTTTTGAGGAAACCAAGTCGCCGCCGGAAGGACCCCTCCAACTTGAAGCTGGAGTGCAATCTTGGCAGCCGCCCGCAGGCGGAGTCTGATGCCGAATCTCTGGACACAGGTGATGACATTAATGATGTTGCTGTCGTGCTGCCGCCCGAGCAGATGCAAGAGGATGAATCTCTTGTTCAAGAGATGGAGATGGATCGTCTTCTTTGGACCAAGACACCTGGATAATTATGTTGGTGTGTTTGTTGTGCACGAAATTCCAAAGTATGCCCAACTTGCAGGCATGTTGGTTCCTCCTTCGGACAGAACATCGATTGCCTCCCGAGAAGATGGCTGCCGCCTGGAAATGTGGCAGATATCTACAGGCAATACTGTGTATACAGCAGCGATCCAGCTTCGTACTCTGACTGCATTGCATGCTACAGCTGTAGATTTCAAGAGTCATCGGAAGCAGCAGTGACACAAACAGTATTTGGGGCTCGGCTTCAATGGTGAATGTGTCTCAGTGTCCGCAGGTCAATGTCTCTGTATGTGTGTATCTGTGTGTGAAGTCTTTGAGGTACTCGCTTTTCCTTGCCCGGTACAATGAGAAATGGTCCTCTCGCTTGAAATTTCGTGATGCAAGTGAGTTTCCTGAGTGCGATGATTGCTACAGATTAAAGGAGGGCATGCGTGAATCGACAGCGCCTTTGCTTACATTGCGGGAACCACTGTCATCAATCCTTGCGGTTTCATGTCGCCAGTCTTGAAGAAGCTTCAGGACCTGGTCAAGAAAATGACGTATGTTGCTGAGTACAAGCGGCACATCGAATCAGTGCAGCAAGATCGGAATTTGGAGCAACTGCTTCAAGCGGAATGCCTGGGAACATCACCTCGTGCCATTCTGTTTGTTCAAACAGATGGAATGGACCAGGCGAAATGGTCCATCCCAAGGCTGGGAGACAAGCAGCCGAAGAAAACAAGCAGCGTGGTGAGGCCAGCCGTGCTGTCGTAGCAAGTTCCTGCTGGGATTGACTGCCTAAATCTACGCTGCTTGATATGACAGTGATGTTCCCTGAGGCCACGCATGAAAGTGCAGGGCATTTGGCTGCAGTCGATCGCTTTGGTGCTCTTCGTAGCAGACATCCATGTCTGCCACGATAGCAGCATGACGTGCGAGGCTCGTGGGGCCGGAAAGTAGTTTGTTTTAAGCCAGCAACCATGTAGCAGGTGCATCCGTGTAGCTCCACAATGCTGCCCATCCTACAGGTATTGGCTCGCGGGCTTGAGATTTGTATGTCTGAGTGCGACAGACGTGGCATCAACAAACCAACCGAGCTGGTTTTGGCCGTGCCCGGGCTTTATTTTGGGATGCTTCTGGGGCGTGTTGCAGCTCTGTTTTGGATATATTCATGCTGGACATGAGGTAGACAATACGACACGGGAGAATAAGAACTCAGCACTACTCCTCATGTTATCGTGGTTGGTCGCTTCCCACGGTTTGCGGGTGGCATCAATGATCAACGCTCGGGTCGGACACACGCATAACAGGCTGGGTCCCTGGACTGCAAACCATTGATTTAGCTGACTGTTTTTTTGCTTTTATGTTGCCTCTGTCTCTTCAGGTACTTTCTTGTGTGTGTGTGTGCGTGTGTATGTGTGTGTTTTCTATGTATGTCATTGCGCTTGCAACCAAGATGGTGTGTATGGGTTGTTGGCGACCGCCATACGGTATTGCACCGTGCTCCTTGATCCTGAGGATGTTGTAGCGAGTCTTGACCAGATTTAGGAAGAAGTGACATGTTTTTGCTAGTTTGACTTGTAGCAAGACTGGTGCTGCCCCCGAAATCAGGAAGTTGCAGCAGATCTTGCAGGACCTCAACATCAGGACTTGGGTTGGGCAGGATGCTGTAATCTCTGCTGAGATCTTGAACACGGTTCGGGATTGGAAGGGATGGTTGCTTGGTGATTCTGATAACAAGTCATTTCGTCTCAACCGAGTGTGGTGCTGAGCCAATGCGTTTATCTCATCTCAGGTTTGCCAAGCTCCGTGTGGATTTAGCAGGTGGTCTTCTGGATACATCAGATGGCCTACACTCGTTCATTTTTATGCGGAGAAGAGGCTTCTCGAAAGCATTGACTTAAAGGTTGGCTTCTAACAGTGGCTTGTCGAGCCGAGAGCACTTTTGTTGATGTTTCGTCCTGCTCTGGGCTGAGATGTTCCGACTGCTCTCAAGATCACATCGTCGGGACCGGCAGCGAGGTCACTGCTTCCCCATTCGAACGACGTGGTTTGTGTACCGAAGAGATATGCGACGGACCAGGCTGCATCTCAGCCGCCCGTCCTGGTTTTGCCACAATCATTTCTGAACCGGTTGCAATCTGCAATTCCACAAATTTCCCGCCCACCCCGACCGACTCCTGCAGATCGCAGGGGGACTTGGCTGGAGCTTGCAGACAGCCTGCTAAGGCAACACCCAACTGGAGATGTGGCCAGAAGTGTTCGTTACTTGCTTCGGGTAGGCAGAGGGCAGGTTCCCCCGCCTGCCTTTCAGCCATTGCCTTGGCTAGAAAGTGACAAGCCCGAGATTCTCTTGAATGGTTTGCAGACGAGCAGTTCAGCTTCGATCCTTTTGCCAGTGGCCACCTTAAAGGCCAAACTTCGCAACCCGAGATGACCACGATTTCAGGTCAGGCGACTGCTGTCCGCAAAATACAGTGCATGTGATCGAAGGGTGCTTCTTGCGGCAGTTCAGTATGACTGGGGGGCAGTCGAGGCTTGAGTGACGATTGTTTTTCTTCTGCAGGTGATATGTGCTTGCATCCAAGAATGAAGTTCTAAGCCTAATGGTCAGTCTTGCTTTCTCGTATTAATCATAAAGCCTCTCCCCACCCCAACTTTGCCAAGCCCAGCACAGCTCGAAATCTTGATGTAGCAAGAAAAACACGGCTGCTGCTGGTGTGTGTGTGTGTGTGTCCTTGCCTCATCGCACCTACTATGTCGCCGAAAGCTGCATCCCAGAACAGGACTGACTGTTTAAATGCCTTGAGCCTGTTCGTTGTGCGCTTGTGTGTGTGTGTGTGTTCCAGTTTCTGGAAATAGTCTCCCGAAGGAACGGGCACCTCGATGTGGGAGCGGCCGTGCGAGCTGTTCTTCGCAAGCCGGTGACGAAGGAGTACCGGGGATCGCCTTCATGTGCAAGGGCTGGAGCCAGTTTGCCGGGGGGGAGTGGTGCCATTGCATGTCATCTTTGCGTGTCTGTCGTACCAAATAACCCAATAGTGGTATGCGATGCAGCCATGAGAATGCATTTAAAGTTGAGCTTTGGATCCTGTGTCGACTAGGATCTGTCTACAAAGCCGCAGAAGAAGCTCAAAGAGGTTTCTTTGTGTACAAGTCCGTCTTCCGTGACGGATCAGTTCAACTGGGCTAGCAGGCGTGGGTAGAGGAAAAGTCCTTGTCTTTAGTTGGATTTCTAGTAGGCAATGACGCAGTGACGGCATAAACTGCATGATCAGGTTTATCGATGCGGCGATGAAAGCTTGGGGACGTGATGTGGTCCTCAGACGCCTCCAGGACATGGACTGGAGGTTTTCGACGACTTTCAGTGGTATGGCTTGCTTGGAGCATGCTGCTATATCAGCTCCTGCATTGCATGGTTCCTAAAGTTCTGGGGCTCAGGGCCAGAACCTATTGTTTCCAAGGCAATGATATTATCCCGGTGATATCATTATCCCATGAGTCCGTCTGATTCTGGTGTCACAGCCCACATCCAGTTTCAGAGTATTTTGTGGGTTTGAGGTCGAGGGCATGCCTGGGTGGCTGGGGTGGGTGGCTGGGAAGGTGCTCTTCTAAAAAAATGTTGTGGGACGGGTGGTGTGGTTGGGTGCTGGGCTGTAGTTTAGTGGTGGGTTGCAGGAAGGTAAACTCAAACCTGTCGGGGAGCCTTTGTTTTTTTTGGGTCGGTTTGTACATCCGAGGTGAAGGAGCACGCAAAGATCGTGCTGAAGAGGTGGCGGAAACCTCAATCCGCCTCCTTGGACCTCCGCTCGGCTGTGGACTTTGACAAGCGAGCGAGGACTCTCTTGCACCAGACATTCCCGGAACGTTGTGTGTTGGGGTCTTAGTCGGATCAGTGCAGCGAGAAGAGTGCTTCAGTTCTGATTCTGCCAGTTTAAGACATGTTCTTGCAGTTGCTCGTGTCTACGAAGCGACTAAGTAGACCCGCGCACTGTGACATTGTAGTTGCTTCTTGAAGCATGTCCGCCGCATGTCCACATGCAGTTATTCCGCATGAGAACGAACGCGCCTGCTTTGCTAGAGTGCCGGTGTGGGGTTGGGCTTGACTGTAGCACTCGACGTGTCCGCGAGTCATTCATGAACTGAACAAACAGGAGTCTTTGGCATAATAATGGAAAGCTTCAGCTTAAATAATATTCATTGAACAAGTCAATGACTTGGGCGGCTGTTCATGATAGGCTTTAAAGTGCGGTGCACGGGAACCAAGGATTAGGTAAGCAAGCTTGTTTTAATGAATAGTCCCCCTGAGCGGGCAATGTATGACCAAATTCAGGATGGTCTTAAGTCCACGCAATACTAATGTTGGTGTGAGATTGTGGGTCTGAGCCGATCTGATACATCCAGGGCAATGGACAGGCGATAAGGCCCCCGCTTATCATAATACATCCGAAGCCATGGGGGGGGGGGGGGGGGGGTAGTTTAAGTGTCATGGATAATATGTGAAAAAGCGATTGCAAGGACTGGCTAGACCCTGCTAGTTGGTTGAAGGCTCCCACGCTATTAGGTTCAGATCTGCGTTCGTGGGGGTGGAGAGCCTCAGGTTTCTAGGGTTCATAGATCTAGTCTAGATGTCTGTGTCGAATGTGATAGGCAAAAGATTCAGAGTCAAGCCGGGAAACGATAAGCCAGGCTCAGGGAGACACTGACGGCTGGTCTTTATGTCATGATATGATTTGAAGCCACCATGACACACGCACAAGCAAGACCAAACAATGGGAGGCAAACATCTGGGTTTCATGAATTGTCTGATGATCACATACGAATGAGCTGAAAAACCGCAACCCGATTTTCCAGTCTACGGCCACATGAATACTATATCGCATGTGCATGACCGGCGTGTGGCAATCTGATACTGACTGAACGAGGACTCGATGTGAAACTCGTGCTTTTGCGAACACGACAAATGGGCCAGTGGGTTATCATTGTTTGAGACCGAGACCAGCATCGCAAGCATTGTCGCCGCACTTCATCGATGAGACGGACGGACTCGACTTGCGACCTACTAGATACGGTTAATATCCGTGCGTGCATGCATGTCGTTGTCGCATGACGCGATCACACGTGCTCCGGCGATTCGCGGCCATGGTTGTTTTGTGGGGTCTCTAAACTAATCTTCAAATTAAAGTCCATAAGGGTAATATCTAGAATATGTTGTGCTGGGAGGTAGAAAGTTATTGTATTCCAACATTGATGTTTGCTGTTCTCGGGGTAATTCTTCTTCAGCACGAGCTTAGTATGAAGTTCTGGCCCACAAATTCTCTTAGTTTTACGAGATATAAGTTCTTCTGGTAGGACCTAGAATGCTCGTTCATGTTTGCATACCGTTGATGGGGTTTGGTCTCATGCTCTTCAATGGACTAGCATAAATTTCCAGCCCTTGGGAGTGGTTCTGCTAGAAGCCATTCTGTTGAAGCACAACATTAATGTTTGGTGTTCTCTGGTCGAGTCGGTGTCTTCTTCAATAGGAGCTTAGTATGAAGTTCTTGCCCACAAGTTCTCTAAGTTTCTAGGAGTTATAATTTCTTCTGCTAGGACCTAGAATGCTCTGTTCTTGCACCGTTCATGTTTGCATACCATTGACGGGGTTTGATCTCATGCCCTTCAATGGCCTGGCTTGAACTTCGAGCAGTTGGGAGTTGTTCTGCTAGAAGCCTTTCTGTTGAAGCATTGATGTGTACATCCCGTTTCTCAGGTTCGGTGATGTTCTTCAATGGAAGCTGGATCACCCTGCTCGCGAGCAGCTATGGGCCTACTGCTACACGCACAATCGGCAATGTGCTGTTGGGGTGGAGCCACACGCTGCAGCTCAACGCCACGCTGGCTTTTCGGTGGAGGGTGCAGGGCCAACTTGCTGTCCGTTCTCAGTAAGTGGAAAGAAGTTGAAGGCCGGTTAAATAAAATTTGCGGTTGCTTCTGATTCTCTTTCCAATAGTAGCTTCACCTCTGCAGACGGCCGACCCCCGCTACATGACCCACAAGACCTGGATGCAGCACCGTCGTATCAACCGCGAGGATTGACAATGAGGGCCATAGTAGCCATACTGTAGCAATTCAAGTCAGTAGCTATGTTTTGCCACAGGACCTGGTGATTTTCGAGAACACCCCCACCTACGACGTGCAGCTGCTTCGCAATGAGCTGGGTCATGGTCTCAGGCTCTTATTCGAAGCTACCCTAGATCGATTGACACTACCCTGGATCCTTTAAGGGTTGGTGTCGAGTAAAGTTATAGAGTTTAGAGCTGAGGGAGTCAGGGTTGAGTCTGGGGATCATTTTTAGGTTTAATATAGTCGAGCGAGGGATATTACATAGAGGTTAGGGATTTTGCTTCAGGGTTAGGTACGGATTCGGGTTTCAGGTCTTCCAGACCCAGCTGACTCACGAACCAGAAATTAAGCCCAACCCTAAATCCATTCCGAAACAATAATTTAATTATAATTGCCCGGCACACACCTGGGAACGGCCCAAAGTACCCAGCTAGTTACAAACGAAACCATCCCCAGGTGATCTCTATGAGATCCACAGCACAGTGCTAAACCCAGTCGATATCGGTTACGCTGCTTCTCGGGGCCGTGTTTGGTGTATTCTCTGCCTTCGCGCGACTACCTGCTGGACAAGCGAGAAATCGTTGGACGAGCTGGTACAGGTTTTTCATTGTCAGCCAACAATGAAGGTCGGTAATCTGAATTAGACCCACGTGCCGGCTGTTGACATAATTGTAGCTATATATTGATCAATGTTGTTTTCCGAAATACACCCTGAGGCCAGTGACTTCTTCTATGACCCAACGAACGCCCCACGTATGACCGCCACCGACATGAAAACTGCCCACTCGTACAAGCGCTGCTTCAAGGACTCCAAGCAGGCTTGGGCGTGATCAGTGTCTCGAGTCGGGTGCTGATTTTCAGTCTTTGATGCTTCTTACAAGTGTTCGGCAGGTCTACGATTTGAGTCAGCGAAGGCCAGAGTTCTTTCGAACGGAGCTCAAGGACGGGAATATGATGACCCTGAAAACGAATACCAAGCTGTACGTTGCTTCGCATGACCGACTCATGTCTACGGCAGAGATGTGTGCTGTGATGGTGCTGCCCAGCAGCGCCGCTCAAGCCCCTAATCTGACAGAGAGTTTACACGAAAGCTCTATATTCAGTCTGCAAGACGACTGGGATTCCGGCTGTAAACGCTTGCTGGTGTAGAGGGATCAGGAACAGCTAGGGTTAGGGTTCTTGTCTGGTTCGTTCAACCATTCTTTCCCTGAGTTCTGGGTTTGAAAAGACGGTTAGGAGTTTAAAGCTTCAGGATTGCGGGCACGTTCAGTTTATTAATACATCAAAAGGGTGCGGGGGGAACACCCTCAACTTAAGCCCCAAGCCTGAACCCGAGACCCGAAAGGCCGTAATCTTCGTAAGCCCCTGCAGCACGGTCGTTCCGGTTCTTTGTTAGGGTTCGTATGAGGTCTCGGAGATTCACTGGCCCTATGACTTGCCTACTTAGTCTTCGGTAGTGCGTTTCTGAAAGGCACCACATGTAACGTCAAGAAAAATACAAGCGATGAGCCACATGTCAGGAAAAAAGAAGCCGAACCAATGCATAGCATGAACACAAACGCGATGCCGCAAATATAGACTTACTATTCCACCATGTGTGACGACTCGTCCTGTGAAACAAATTCCTTCAATAAGTGCCCGTGCTTGTGCTGACTTAGTAATGTTGCAATCCAGTGTCGGTATTTGCTGGGTTGCCTTCCATTCTTCACGAATACTGACGGCAGGGTCGCAGATTCAGGATTCCTGGGTTTTGGTGCACTTTATTTTCTGAGTCTGGGAGACTTTGGAGACTTACCTTCAGCTTAAGCACTAGAAGCCCAAAAATATCCCAAACCCCTAAACCCTAAACCCCTAAACCCCTAAACCCCTAAACCCCTTAACCCTACATCCGAAACCCTAAACCCTAAACCCTAAACACTAGACCCTAAATCCTAAACCCTAAACCCTAAACCCTAGCAGCCCAGGCCAAGCTCGCCAAGAGCCCGCAGGTGCCCTTGACCGACATGCCGTACACCTCCATGTCGCATCTTGTAGGGAATGGAATGCACGTTGCCTCCGCAGGGCTTATCTTGCTTATGGCAGCACTTTTCGTTGAAAAGAAATGAATCCTTTCTTTTAGAGCTTCCAATGTTTGGTCAGAGTCGTGGTTCATTGCCGCGGTAGCTGACCATGATCATGTGTCGCTGACTCGAGACCGACCCGTGCATGAGCCCCAAAGCCCAAAAGATAGCCGTGCAACAGTGGAAGATGTCTGACCCTGCCTGTGTTTCAGCTTGGCCGTTGCTGTGCTCCTCAGATCCGACATCAGGTGGGTGATCGTGATTGCGGCTTGAAAGCTGATTACTGGTGCTAGCTTCTGAGGGTCGCTTCAGCTAGAGTACCAAAGTACATCTCGAAGGACGATCATGTGCAGATTTAGTTTTAGAATTGTGCATCAATCAAGCTGGCAGCACAGGCCTTCAATGTGACTTGTTCTTTTGTGCGAAGCCTAGTGATCTGAAGAACAGACGGCTGCCGAGTCCGTCCTCTGGGCCCTCCGTGATGGGTAAGAGGCCCTCTGCTCTGGCACCGACCTCCAGGGCTTCTAAAGCAACAAAGGGTGCGCAGCATGAGGGAGCCAAACCCTGGGTCCTCCGTATGATTGCTTCCATGGAGATCCTTGTCTAGTATTGAGACGAAGAATGATATTTAGATTGCTCAACCTATTACTGCCCTGCCTATCTCACCTCTATTCCAAGAACCTATGACCTGGACATGGACGAGCACCCGTGCCAGCTCATCCAGAAGTATGTTGGTGGGGATCAAGAGACTTTTGAGAACTTTGGGGAGAATGTGATTTCTTGGTTGCACGCGCGAGGGCGATGCGACTCTGTGCCAGCCGCAGCTAGGTTATGTCACAGGGTGGTCTACACAATTAATCATGATAGGGAACCCTCGCAATAAGCCCCACCACTGTCGCACCTTAACAGCCCTGAAGCTTCAGTTGCTTGTGTCCCCAGCTGCTATAGACTTTGGGCTTAGGTTTCTTTCGATCCAAACTTAAGAAGACACCTTTGGAGTTTGCTAGGCATTTAGGGTTTAGGGTTTAGGGGTTTAGGGTTTAGGGGTTTATGGTTTAGGGTTTATTTAGCAGAATAAAAGTTGCTACCTTGTGCTTGGCATGCTTTGCCTCGACACTTTCGCCCAGGCCATGAAACTGAACGAGTTTCGCTTCCCCACGACAGACGGCAAGGTGGACATGCCTTTGTTTGCTGTGAAGTACAGCAAGCCCACCGAGGGGTGGCCGCCAAAGGTCAACATGGATAAGTTTGCAGAATCGATCTTTCATGGGTTTGAGAAGGATCGAGAGCCACTCGAGATTCAGCTGACCCCCGGCCTGCAACCTGGTGAGCCTCTTTACCAAGGATCAGTGGCCCTGACGAAAGGATTCTGCCGCTGCTCCATCATCCTCTACGGTATCGTGCAGACGATCATGAAGGAGGACCACACCACCATGAGCGAGGCTGAGAGGGCTTTCTTCACGGAGTGCACTGGCTGCAAGATGGGTTTCAATTCTGAACATGATTGCATAATAATTGCTCTCGATCATCATCCTTATGAATCCTGATGCAGACATAAAACGCCGATAAACTGGGTCACTGCGGGAGGCCCGTCAATCTAAAGGCCATGCCGCCGGCATCGCCGATAAATCGTGGAACCACACATAACCACCTTAACTTTGGGTCACTACGGGAGGGTTGCCCAGGGAGACTCAAATTTAAGGTGGTGTTCCAAGCCGTTCAAGATTAAAGGCCATGCCGCCGGCAGGGCCGATAATTTGGGTCAACGCGGGGCCCAGACATCTTTATTGGTGCTTTGACACCCAAACCGCCGATAATATCTGTGTGCAGTGCCTCTGTGTACCAAAGTCATTCGCTCACATCTGCAGCCCTTGTTCTGACATTAACAGCAATCATCCATCTCAGGTGGTTGGAGAATCTGTTGATTCTGCCAGCCACCTACACCAGCCGGGCGACACATGAGTATGCGTGGCGAAGCATGCAACTCGCCCACCAGGCGGGGCATGAAATTGTTCAGGACTTCGGGCTTGCAGGGGCCGCCCGAATCTGTTTGCCGATCGTGAGAGGCCTACACAAATTGAATGTCAAGAACCGCAGTGCCAGGCATCCCTCAGGGAGAAAAAGAACCTCCTACAGACGGCATTGAAGTTCCAGGAACGTGCCGTGTCGCTCATGGATGATACTTGTCCTTTACATACTTCTGTGCCTATGCCCCCCTTTAACGACGGCTGGTTCTTCCTAGCAGCCCTTCAGCCTAAGGACAACCCCGGATGGAGCCTCGAGCACGCTCTGAATGAGTCCATCGCCGAATACAACAATTACGGCCTCGCGGCACAGAGTGCTCAGTACCGGCTTGCGGAGCGAGAGGGCTTTGCTTTGAAGGCGAGATCTGGAAGAGTTTCAGGCTAATGGGGTTTTCTGTTGTCGAGCAGCATAGAAAAAATGGGCAGTATGTTGATGTGCCTCTTGTTCCACAAGAGTTTTGGGTTAAGGGCTCAAAGGGAACACTAACCTAGTGTTTAGGACATACCGGAAGACGTTGCAGTATGTGCCTTTTGTGCTGTGAAATGTTCGTGTTCCACAGGAGTTGGGGGTTGTTTGGGGTTAAGGACTTAAAGGCCTTTTTCCAGGGGTCGGGCAGAATGTATTACACTGTGTGGTTGACTGTTCGCACATGTCCCGCAGGCCCTGATCTTCGGAGTCTCCGCAGGCTCGCAGCAGATGATGTCCCGCCACTTGCAAGCAAACACTTGGGCAAACTCAGGCAGGGCAAGTTAAAACATTGCATCTTGCTTGTGCAACATTGCTTTTGTGTTGCTGCCCTATCAGCCTTTTCGGTGGAGACTATCCGAAACCAGAGATGGCTAATCGGGTCAACCGGCCGATCCTCGAACCCTTGGTGGCAAGCAGTGGAGACCGTTTCTGCTGCGAAGCAAGAACTTTTCATGGAACGAGTGCTGTTTACTTTCTCTGTTCGGAAGAAGCAATGCAAAAACGCAAGCACAGCCCGGCTTAATGGCGAAAGTTGGGAGCAGATGCTGGAAGCCTCCTGCCTGCTCTTCCAGTTGCTGGAGGACATGCAGGCTGCGAAGCATGCCAGCGGCGAGGCGGTCTTCCGACCCGAGGACCTCGTGAAAGCGAGACGCCGCGGTGTTGAGGGGTGGCTTGCCATTCATGAGTGTGCATACAGACAGAGGGCGGAGAGAGAGAGAGAGAGAGAGAGAGAGAGCGCGAGAGAGAGAGAGACAGAGGGAATGACAAGACTGGAAAACCAACGGAAATTCTCGAAAATTGAAAACCCCCTACGTTAAACCCTAAACCCTGCTTGCTGAAGGCTGAACCCCTAGAAACCTTCTGTTACCCTAAACCCTCACCCCTGAAGCCTGAAGTTCAAACCTTAAATCGTTCTAACTGCACTACCACCGAATATTCTCGCCGCAGCCCCAAACCCTGACCCTACCGAAGCAAGCTCTTTTAACTGCACAGAAACCCTTTCTGATACCATAGCTCTATGTAGGTGCCCAACAAGAACAGAATGCTCTGCTCAGCCTACTGTTGGCCTTTACAGCTACCGTTTCTCCCAGGGACTACAATGCCGAGCTGCTCAACCTCATCACCGCGAAGCTCGCCGTGCTTCCGACTGACACATCCCTATGGAAGGACTTATGCAGGATTCATGTAGTATTCATGTGGCAAGCAGTCCGGGGCTGAAGACTGATCTAGTATCCATGTAGCCACAGCAGGCAGCCAGCTCAATGTGTAAGAGCTCAATCATATGGCCACATAGACATAGTATTCATGAGGCTCTTTGCTCCTTATAGTATTTATGTGGCTCCAATGGTATTCATGAGGCCCTTTGCTTCAGAAAAGTATTCATGTGGCTCCAATCGTATTCACGACTCCTTCTAGTATTCATGTGGCCCCGATTCCCAAATAGTATTCATGAGGCCCTTTGCTTCAGAAAAGTATTCATGTGGCTCCAATCGTATTCACTAGTATTCATGTGGCCCCGATTCCCATCGCAGCAGCAGCCATCGTGTCAGCTCATCTCCTGAAGCATGCAAGGGATAGTGGTAACAACCTAGGATGCGAAGCTCCCTTGTGGCAACTTATAGAAGCTATCGAGAGAGATAGTGGTTCCCCTCCGAACAATGAGAACAGGTATTAATTTGTCATAGAACCAACACCCCCAACACCACCACAGGGCACAGCCGCAAGCAGGATGCTGAACATGATCGATTAGTGCTGCCATGCTTCCAGGATCACCTGCCGCCTCTTGACAGCCACGGCGGCAGCAGCAAGGGAGCCTCGGCCATTGAGGCATTGGACTTGGAATGTGTTCAAAAGGCATTTTCTGCGGACTTGCTGAAGCTGAGCGAGGATCAGTCACTGTTCTCGGATTACCAACAGAAGTTGGGGGCAGGGCAAAGGCAGAAGGCTTTGGCGAGGGTTTTGCGCTTGAAGTCCGAGAACCGCAGAGGGTCCCAACTGGTCGTTGACTGGATGGAGAGAAACTGCAAGCATGCTGCCTCCTCCTACGCCGAGCAGCATGTCAACATCATCGAGGCACGCAGCCCAGAGTTCGTGTTTCAATCGGGTTCGGGGTTTTGTGTCGGGATAGAATGCAGCTGCAGTGAATCCTGGAGCATGAGAGCAAGCCACTGTGAATCCCTGTTTGTGAGACCTGTAAAAGACTTCTGGACGCACCCATACTGTTACCACATTCAAGCAACCCTGAGCCTGCACCTAAATCGAGCTAAACGAAAGTTAGGTCAGTCGATTTATCGTCTGTCCCTGCCCATCTTCGCTACTCACTTGACACGGGTAAACCTACTCCACAACAGGACCGGGCTACTCTGAAGCCAAGGTATTCATGAATAATAGATAAGCAGTGGGTGGGTCGCGGGTGCAATCTATAATGACCAACAAGAATGCATTGTTACCTGATTTCATAAGTCTACGTAGTTACCAATTGCGCCAGTTCATCAAAGAGTACACCCCGGCGGCCACGATCGTCTGGGCCGACTTCACCAAGTGTGGTACTGTGCAACAGGACACACTCGACGAGGTGACCGAAGAGATTCGTCGTATCTGCGCCGCCTACCCGAACAAGTCTTGTGCAGTAGTCATTGCACCTGCAATGACGAGTGCGAGAGTGGTGGCAGGCAAACGAGGTGAGATGAGGCAGGGCTGTTATATAGAACAGTGTTCGGGTTCGATAATAAATGATCTGCCAGCCATGTATTGTTCGCTGTCAGGCGGATGGAAGACAAGCTGGATGCGAAATGCCTGACTTCCCTTCGGTTTGCGATACGCATGGATGGCACTGGGCACGGGAACCGCCGGCTTCCGCTCCTCTTCCCTGCGCTTTTTGCATGCAGTGATGCTGCAACGAAGAACGTCTTTGGTAACAGCAAGATGCTTGTGACAGAGTAACAAATCTGCAAGAGCTTGAGCTCGTTAACGGATTAGTGTTTTAGGGTTTAGGCTTTAGGGTTTAGGGTGTTATATCTGTTATATGTTGAACGAAGACACAAAGATAAAGTACTGCAGGTGCACTTCTCAGGAGATCACATGGCTTCCGGTTCGGGAATACAAAGTCCCTCGTGCACGAAACACCACACCATGTACGACGGAAAACATGGAAAGGATCCGGGTGTCTGTATCAGGTTTAAGCCCTGGAGCCTAAAGCCTGCTAAACCTCATAGGCTCAAGCCCTTTAACCTGAAGCCCTGAACAATACCCCAAAGCCAACTGTATCTGTTCCAGGGACTGGAAGTCTGATTCCCAAGCAAGCAGAACCAAGCTCCCACTTAATGCTCCAAAATGTCTTGTTGACAACAAGCTGCTGTTGTTGCCTTGCACATGTCTGCCGCCCTGAATAGAGAACTCAAGTCAGACGAGGGGCCAGTATCCAATTTCTCCAGGAGCCTCAGCGATGTCCAGATGGCAGCCCAATACCTCGGAGGTGTTGCGATGCCGCGGGAGGTGTTGGCCAGTTTGATGCAGGAGTTGCTGCAGCCTTCGCTCTGCGTTCTTTGCATTACCTTCAGATCAATTCTTTTATTGTCTATTAGGCAGCAAACCAATTCGATGCAGGATGTGCCAGAGTTGGATTCCAGCTCGACTGTCTGCCTGGTGAACCTGACGCCCTATGATGGGTGCGTGGAGCGGGCCTGCATCAGCTCGAAGGGCGACGGCGGACCAAGGCCACTCCCAAATCGAAGTATAATTTCATTGAACCCGAACCTCCCTAGCCCGAAGCAGTCTTAAATCTGGCAGGATCGTGTCGTTCACCTGCAGCCCGGACATGGACACAGCTTTGTTTTCGCAACGACTTGTTGCCCAGCGGCTCATGGAGGCAAAGTTTCAAAGTCTGTGTTATGATGTTTGAGGCGAGTCTCTGAAACTATCTCAGGGAAGGTCCCTGACGCTAGGCCGCAAGGTCTCTGACGAGACCTGAAGATAATCACTGTTTGAGACCGAGGCAATACCGCTTCGTATTCATGCCAATCAAGGCTAGCCTTGACCGAAGGGCCGCCGAAGGGCCCAATCCCCCTAGAAGCCGCAGGTCCTTGATGCCTCAGAGCTTGAAGCCACACCAGGAGCTGATCCCCAACGACGTGTAATAACCCGAGGCAAAATCTCCGGTGCTCCAGAATCTCCAGAACTTCAAACCCTTTCGTTGTCATCGAACTACTTGAGCAGTCTAGTCAGAGGATACCCTAAACCCTAAACCCTAAACCCTAAACCTTTTCGTTGTCCTACAACTACTTGAACTGACATTCTTATTAAAATCAGAGGATAACCCTTTCGCTGTCCTAGAACTACTTGAACTGACATTCTAATCGTCAGAGGATAACCCTTTCATTGTCTTAGAACTACTTGAACAGTCTAAGTAAAGTCGGAGGATAGTGTTGGCCCAAGAAGCCTTGAAGTCGAAAGCGCTGCAAACCTTCGTGCTCCTCAGTTTCTGACAGTCAGCTGAATGCCCCCCCCCCCAGAGCTTCACCACAAAGCTTCAAAGCCAATAGTACATGGGAACTGAAGCAGAACCCAACACCCTAGAAGCCTTACTGACCCTTGGAGCTGGAAGCCAGCACCTATAGACCACAGAGTAGATCTACAAAACGTAGGCCGCAAATTAAATCAAACTGTGTCGTCGTGCAGGACTGGAAGTCTGGCAACCATCCCATGGGCAACGTCGATGCATACGCCCCCGACCAGCTTCCAGATCCGGACGCCGGCATCCCGCAAGTGCCGACACTCCATGTTTGCCAGGTGGTTTCGCTAGAGGATGGATCCAAGACTTTGGCAATCAGCACAGAGTTTCGTCAGAAGTGGTCTGATGACCCAGCACGAAAAGATGAGTGGACCCAAGAGATGAAGGCCTTCGATTCCAGGTCCCTCGTCTTAGAATCCGTCACTAGAATCCAGAGACAACAACAATTTTCTCAGATTATCCCGAATGTCCTGTCCCCAGCAACACTGCAATACTGAATGTCGTGAGCCCCAAATACTATGTACTTCGTGTTTTACTACTTGATAGCCAAGTACTACTGATCTTTCTACGACCACCCGACCCTAAACCCGAAGCCCTGAATCCGCTCAGGTTCGGAGCCCATACGATTGGCGAGCAGCCGAAGCCACCTCCGGCACCCACCAGCACCAGCGAGGATGCAGAAGCGGCTGGCGAGTGGGCAGATGAGCCGACCTCGGCAACCGAATTGGACCGCCGGTATGAGATCCTCGTGACTTGTCCAGGACGGCTGGCTTCGACGCAGCTACGTGTCTGCAAAGCAGTGGAGACGGATCAGACTGCGGCCAAGAATGTCATGCCTGAGCAGCTTTACAAGCTGTTCATCGTGGATGTCTGAGAGTGCTTTGTGCTTTGGAATCTGAACGTAAGTCCGGCTTAGCTTCGGTAGCCTCTCACTGACTGAACGAGGTGGCCCTGGAAAACAACATCACCATCGACACCGAGCAGTTTGTCATTGCACACGACAGAGCTACGTTCATGAATGCCAACCGGGTGCAGAAGCTGCTGGAGGGTGGAGGACCGCACCAGCTGCCTTAGCATGTTGTCTGCAGCGCAATTATTGTAACTTGGCTGTGGTATCTGCCTTGAAAGGTAGTCTGCAGTATGATTGCATGTCGTGTACTGTAGCACGAGGACCCAAAACAAAAGCAGAGCAGCTTAGAGCGTAGAGCCCTGTTTCTTTTAAGTGTGCAGCCATGCAGCCAGCGCCCAAGACACGTCCGCAGCCAAAGCCGAGCGACGGGACCGTGAAGCCCAAGACAGCTGATGACCTGCAGAGTGGTGCTGCTGAGAAAGCTGAGAAGGATTCAGATGCCACTGCCGTGTCGGTCAAGGAGGAGCGGAAATCCAGATCCAGATCCCCGAAGCAACCCCGACGCATGGATTCGGATACAACCGTTGTCCTGGGATCTTCGTGCTATGTTAATAGTGATGACTCCGATACGGACGACTGATGGGCCAGGCTGATGGTGTAGAAAAAGCCGAGACTGTCCAATCGGTTTTTGGTGTCAGTGCATGCCTGCTACTCTCATGCTTACACCTTAGGTCTTTCACATCAGAAGCAACCTGCTGCTCATAGTGTTTTGTGGCCCAGTGGCACATAAAGTTAGCTCAGCCCTGTCTGTGTGCAGTAAAGCCTAGTCAGCATGAGCGACGGCCCGGACCAACTCTTTGACTTCTTGGAGACCACCCACTCCGAGACTCCTGTTCTCGAAACCCCTTGCCGCAAGCTCCTCAACAGCTTCGATGCTACGGAAACGCCAGCTTTCCTGAAGGCTTCGCCGGTGTCTACGAATGCTTCCGCTTCAAGTTCCCCTCCGAACAAGGACAGCCCGGACTCCAGCAAGACTTCGTCGACGACCCCGCCTCCTTCGCTTCCCTCGAGGGCACCCGAGCCTGGCAAGAAGTTTGGATTTGGCAATGCTTTCAAGGCTTTGCAGTTTCGCTCAAAGTCTACCGACTCCAACTTGGGTGACAAGACCTCACCAACCAAGAGCGACATGAGCTTACTCCAGAGTGAGATCGAGAAGGCCAGAGAGGCTGTGAAGAATGAGAAGAAGAATGAGAAGGGAGGAGCTGCCGATCCGAGCAAGGATGATGTCAGCAAGGCAGCATGATGTACAAAAGGTTGTAGGGTTGCACATGAAGTGGTAGATGGGTCTGATAGGTTTGTTCAACTAAACCAGAAACTGCTAAGCTAAAAAGACACTAAACCCTAAACCCTAA